ATGGAGGATAACAGTGTGGTTGTTGAAAAGGAAGAAAATGACAAGAAGAAGAAGAAGGATGAGAAGAATGAGGAGAAGGAAAACGACGATTTCGGTGGTACTGGTAGTGATATATTGATAGAAAAGGAGGATGAGAATAACCAGACGATGATCGATTTGGGTGAGGCAAAAGAAGTTGAAGAAGCCGAGGGTAGCGAAGCAGTCATTCTCACTGCAACTACTGAGGGAAGTGTTTCGGGTGCTGATGCCGAAAATGAAGAAGACGCTGTGAATGAACGAGATAGAAATGAGAAGAAGAAAAAGAAGAAAAAAAAGAAGAAGCATAAGAAACATGAAGAGGGTGAAGAAGCAGAACGCAAAAAGCATCATAAACAGGGAACAGGGAACAACGAAGAGTTGGTGACCACTAGCGAAGAGCATGAATCGCCGCATAAGAAATCAAAGAAGCATAAACGAAGCCGTGAAGAGAAGGAAAAGCATAAGGAAGAAAAGGAAAGACGTCGTGAGGAGAGAAAACGTAAAAAAGAAGAACGTAACCACGAGGAAAGTCTTAAAGAAGAGGATGTAGTGAATGATACCGAAATGATTTTGAAAATGGTAAAAAAAGACACCCCGTTGCAACAGCAGCTACGAGAAATTGAGGAGAATGAGATCAGTGAACGAGTAGAAATGAGTAAGGATGATGGATCATTGCTAGCAGCAATTGTCTCATCGGATTCGGTGATGGAGAAACCGAGTCAACAAACTCCTCAGAGATCGTTTATTGAAATGACGAAGTGTGATAAGGAAAAGGAAGAGAAAGGAGTGGACAGTTCGAGAAGAGAGCAGAAAAAGGGAGGGAGCGAGGTGGTGTCAGTAGAAAGCGATAAAAAGGTGACGAGCAGAGGTGATGACCGCATGAAAACAATTAAAAGAACTCGGGAGGATAGATCTGAGGAAGGAACTAACGAAAAACGGTGCCGAGTTAGCGGTGCAACGGAAAAGCGTACCACTGAGAGGAAAACAGCGGAGGAGGGAAGTGATCGCAGAAAAGATACTGTCAAAAGGGAATATCATGGAGCAAGTGATCATTCAAGAAGACGAGATGAGAAGCATCACTCTAGAGTTAATGTTACGTTGGATAGAACGTCATCATGGACCGAACGAAACTCACATCGTACAGACTCAACGGGAACTCATCATCAAAGCAACAAACGAAGGTTTCTATCTTTATTCGAAATTCGCTAATTTTGCTTCAGTTGGTGTTTATAAAAGACGTAGATTTGTAGCGATTGTGAGTAGAATTTTAGAATGATGTAGTTTCGAAGTTTTAGTCAGTTACTGTAGTATTTGTTTTGATGTAAAAAGCAATATTAGTTTGTTTAAAAGCCGTTCAGCATTTTGTTCAAGATAATAATAATTATTATTAAAAGTGAATTCGATGTACATTTAAGATCTGAAGTGAAAGACGGAAAAGAGTTGAAGTTTTATAAACATGTTGATGAAGTTGGTAAAAGCAAGGAAACTCGCAATCAAGTGAAACCTAAAATTGAGCACGATACAAAATCTGAGCCATCCATCGAGGAACAACGCCCAGAGAAACGCAAATCTGAGGTTTCATATCCGTTATTTCATTGAGGTCAATGAATAAATGCAGTTGCTTAATTATTTACCTTATTAAACTGATTGGCGTTTTGTAAGTGATGATATCTAGCGGTGTACCCATTTAAGTGGTCAAATGTTCTCTTAATTACAGTTAGAATCGAAGAGGTCACAAGAGAGTACGCTGACGAACAGCAAACGGAACGATGAAAAAGCAACAGTGCATCGTACAAATATTAGAAGCAATGAGGACGAGCGCATTGAAAAGGAGAAAGAAAAATCGAAACGGAGCGAAGAGAGAAGTGAGAAGCGAACCGAATCAAGTACCCGCAAAAAAGGTTCAGCAAAGGATACTGACTCCAGAAAGAGTAGCACGCATCGGAGGGACCGAGAAGATGTGAAAGTTAAAGAGAAGAAACTTGACGATATTAAGGTGTCCATTGAGAACGAATTGGCTGAAGAACGAAAGCTCGATACGTCATCGTCAGGTGGTGATCTACATCGAGATAAGCCGAATATCACTGTTGAATTGAAATATGGTGGTGAGGTTAGAATAGTTTATAAACTCTTTCATTATAATTTTTTAAAAATTTTTCAACCCAACATTCCACTGCTGCTTGATGAAAATGTTTACATCATAAAATGAGACAAGGAACCATCTTTACGCATTGCTATGACAGATTTTGATATCATATAAATTCGCTCTATTCGTAGTAGTAAGTTTGATGATCGCATCAAATTTTCAGAAGAAGGTAACTCGAGAAAATGTTTTCGAAAATCTGGTACCCCAATTTAATGCTCGTCAAAAAATTAAAATGATTCTTCTATCGGAGAGCGAGCGTTTCGCTGCAGATAAAGCGAAGAAGAAGAACGTAAAATAAGGAGCGATCTTGTTACGATGAATGCAAATGGACGTATGGATGGTTGGACGCAGTGGCTACCACAAGTCTGCATTTGAATGGATTTTGCCGAATTCGTGTAATTGCAACAAATTCCCATTCGTCGATTTCGTTTTGAAAACTTGTGAGAAAGAGGAATGATTTTATAATATATTAACAATTTAATGTTGTGTTGCTTATCGACATGTTGTTATTGCTGTTATTTTGCTTAAGCAACATCGTAACCAGTATATTTCATCACAGTTCAGTTTTGCAAACATCATCTAATACTTTTACTGTGTATTCGTTTCCATTCCCTTCCTTGCATCTAAATGTTATCATTTAAATGCTCGTAACTTTTTAAAATACCCCTCTGCACTTGATTCGTTTATTCTTTCGGGAAATGGGCGATTTCAGTGTATTTTGATCATACATAAACAAGTATTTATTTATTACAAATTTTATGATTTTTTGATTGTTTTTGTCTTGAGGAGTAACTATTGTTCTAATCCTCTTGAAGAGATGTTGAAATGTTTTCAGAATTTAATAATGAAATTGTGCGGGTGAGTTATTTTCATGTAGACACGTTAAATTATTATCGTATGTCATTTGCTGTATGTGGTATCGATTTTCGATCATTCGTACTCAGAACTTATACCAGGTTGGTTTATCTGCTTATACATTCGAATGATCTGAACCGAAAATTTTTATGTCGAAGCCCTTAAGATCAATAATAGTCCACTCAGTTGACGAGTTTTCTGAATACGATAATGCAATGGGAGATGAACAAGTGAATTTGTTTTCGATTCACTGCGACCACATTTTATGATTGTTTCGTGTTTTCATATCATTTCGTTGAATAATCTATCCGTTTCATTTCCTCTCACCGATATCACACGACCGCTTTGTAAATAACGTTGTTTTTTGTTGTAGTACGAATTAATGTTCGAATATATGGAGGAATAAATTTTTGAAAACATACTTCCTGTTGGTTAGTGTAAAGATTGTGTACTGTCGATTCAATCTCAAACTTGGATAATTAAACCACATACAATTAACAAACATCACGAACAAAATTATAATACTAACAGTTAATCAAGGAAAATAAGAAGTTATCATAAATACATCATGCGGATGCATGATGCTATTTCAACGACACACAAAGAAACTTGTAATGGTAGAACTTTCCTTTTATAGTGTTTCAGTTCTAATCAACAACTGCACCGCTTTATTACTCTTAATTCTTTGAAACTCGGAATGCCAATCACTTTTGTCTTATCAAACTATCCCTCTGATCATTTTCTCACCGATTCTCTGAGGGATAGGTTGCTTTATGATACTCAGTGGCTCTTCGCGTAAACAAACAACTGTCAAACAAATTAACAATATTGTTATTAAATCATTCTAATAATTGAAATATCATTCCGATTAATTACCTCACGACTCAATAGTCGTGACAGTTAGATATTCAGTGGTAAAATTCGTAAGCAGATCCTGGTTAGTTTCCATTGCAAAATGTCTCTCTACAGCCATCATCTTAAAGAATTACCTAACGATATAGGCGCATGGGCAATCAAAAACGATTTCTCACTACGCAGAACTGTTCAAACAAATGTTATAAGCGCATTAACAAACAGCAAATGAATTCAAGTAAAATAAATCCTAATCGTTCCACTCCCTAACTTTAACATAAAACAAACCCCTGGCTGTTAGTTTGTGAATGTTGATAATGAACTAGTTTTGAAAATTTTAATTTTGAGAATAATTTCAATGAATTTCTGAATTATTGCCTGCGGAATCTCATTCAAAACCACACATCGAAATTTCAGACATCTGAGAAATCCATAGAGGTATTAAAGTATTGGCATATCCTCCCGACTTCTCCGCTAAAGTCTTGCATTTATGATGATATTGTTTATCAAAACAGCGGTAATACATCATACTGAATAGTACAAATCAAAATAATAATCATAAAACGCAATAAGATTTTATAACAACAGCAATAAAAGTGATGCATCCTTGAAGAAATCTATCTCACTTAAAGCAACGTACCGTACCGCATCGGTCAAATGGTAACATTCAAATGCGATGCAAGACAATAAGTAATTGTAATGCATCACAACAGATAATCATATAACAAATATATTCGTGTACATAAAATGACAGAAAATAGATGGTTGCAAAGAATGATACTTACAATTGCGATTATATTTTCAGGTAAATGTATAAAATGAGAAGCATGCAAAAACGTGATCACTGATCACGACCTAATTTTATTTCTGATTCGTCGTGTTTGAACGAGAAAAAAATAAATGATTTGAGAAATGTGGTTATTTAACTATTGCTTATTTATTCGGATCTTGAAATGAGTGAAATATCAAATGAATGTCAATATGAAATTTTAAAAAAATCATAGGGATGAAGTTTGATTGATCCGACCGTATTTAATGCTGTAATTGCTGGTGTTGTATATATTCTTTGATACTGCGGATATTACAGACATTGAAACATATAGTTGTTGCCGCTTATTTGCAGTAGTTGATGCGGGGATCGGGGAATTTTAGGAACCCCATCCCCAACTTTTTTCGAGCCGAGGACATTTTCGAGGTTCCCGAACCCGACCAACAGTCGGTCGGAATTCCGACTGTCGGAATGGCGAAATGCCAGCTAGGTCTGATTCCGACCGAGCAGTTTGGAAAGTCGGTCGGAATTCCGATTGTCGGAATAACGGAATGCCAACTCGGTCGGATTTCGATCGACTGAAATTTCGCCCAGACCCTATCACTAGTCTATAAGACACACAAAACAAAACATGCGCCAGCCATAGCATGCATGAAGACATTGTGCTACAGATTTCTCCGCTTATTAACAACTGATTTCTCGAACTGGTAAGGAGCTAATTCTTGGTTCAGGATGTTGACGGCTTATAAGAATTGTTCTTACTAATTCTGATCAACTTCGTTCGTTCTGAAGCTAGCGGTAAAAACTAGTACGACGGTTGCTGCTTGATGAAAGTAAACGTAGTTCGCAAATTACTGGAGAACGTGAACTTACAAATGAGTGGTTACTAACAATAAGCAACGAACTTAATTAAGAAATTAACTGTTATTGATGATGTTTCTACTGGCTGCTGCATGGACTGGCCTGACGTTTCAAAGGCTCTTACTTGTAAGTAAGAGGATGAAGTGACGTTCACCTTCAGCAATTTACCATTCCAGTTTCCATCGTTCTTATGTGGTTACGTTCACGAATTACCTCATTCAATTTTCATTTAATAGAAAGAAAGATGAGCATGTAAATTCTGAAACACTGTCCAAATACTGTCCAAGATTTTGATATGAAAACTCGCCCATGGCGTCTGAGGAGCAATGGAGAAGGTTTTTCTGAAGTCACATATTCTACGCAAAAAAATTGAGCAGAAGACAGATACGGCAGCTTTTCCTGTGCATGTCTCTAATTTTCAAACATTGATACTCATTTATTAACCTCATAGTAGTACATACTCTCTCATGCTTTAAACGCCACATTATAAACGGTCTATTCAATGTACTTACTTTTCCATTGCTATTCTGTGCTAAATGACACTTGAAGAGTTGTCCTTCATAAACTCTGTCTCCTTTCGAGAGAATCTGTTATCCTGTTCGAGACACCCCATTTATTTTTTGTCATAGCGTTATGCTTTTCAAAAGAATCCCATTCATTCCTCGAGATCTGTTTTACTATGCCTAAGATATGTGTGACGATCTTCCTATGAAATGTTCCTCAATTCACGATTAGTCATTTCAGTCATATTTTGCTGTATCTCTAACACTTTGCATTAGCACATTTTCAAAATTGCTTCTCAAATCGAAATTTCGAAAGTCCTTTCGGTTTTTTTTTCTTTCCTAACTGCGATGCAAACAATCGTGGTAAAACCACAACCAATAGCTGCCGTCATGACAATTCTAAACTCACTGAAACTGAAGATACTGACAGCTTGTGGATTTTCGGTGTAATGTGTGGTAACACGTGGAAAAACATTTATACATCCGTCACGCCACGCACCATTCATATTTTCAAATTTATCCTAATCTCAGCAAAGATATGAGCTTACTTCCAAACAAGAACATCAAACTTGGGCCTTAGAATGTGACGTCGAATTGTACCCGGGGGTTTGTGCGGGGCCCCTATGCACTTTGAGATTCTATCTCGCTCATGGAACACCACCAAACCATGCCTGGCAATGTCTTCCTCCATTATGCCTGGCGTGACAGCATCAAAAACACGATAATGATCAACGAGAGGATGAACACGATGATGAACGCACGAAAACACGAAACAATCACATAAATAGCAACACAAAATAACCACTTAAACAACAACAACAGCAATAGAACATAAACAACAACAACGCAATAGAACAATCAAACCAATATTCGCTTAAACACGAGATTTCAATGCCTATATCTAGTCGCACCGTTCGAAACAGGATAACATGAACAAATTCTGAAATAATATCTTGGAAACGAAATCGAATCATGCCAGATGGTATCATTTTGTATCAACTCAAAAGTAGCTTGAGGTCAAGTCAAGCTGATGCCACGTGAAGCTCGACTCAGGTCATAGTTCCTCTATAAGGTATAAGAGAAACCCGAGGAATCCTACCTGGCTTTCTATTGCTTTAATTATCAACTGGGTACTTGAATGATAGAGGTTGAGAAAATTTCACGATGCTACCACGAAAACGCTGCTTCAGAAACACTTGTTTGATAGCTTACACATCAATTCATTCCAACCCTGAGAAGATGTTGTGCTTGTATCAAAGGGAAAATTCTAACCTCTGTGCACAGATCAAACCGAAGTCATCCAATTCAACCCTAACCCGAAATATAAGCTCTCGAATCAGTTGTTGAAGACGGAAGCGATAACTTATGACGTACCTTATCACAACTTATGACGGACAACAACTGCACTGCCAATGAACATAAGGAAATCATCATAGAATTGTATGAATGCCATCATGACACTAGCTAATAGATAAGCTTCGGCGAGTAACCACAAACACCCGAGACTTCGA